CCCTCACAAAATAATGACTTACTGATCAGAGTTTGGCACAGGGACCAAACAGTTTGCTGATGCATAGTTGGCAGCAGTGGGCTGTAATTGGGCTCCAAAGCTGACCAAGATGGCTGCTAAGAGGGTCAAGGAAGGACCCATCTTGTGTTTGAGATTATTTGACAAGAACAAACAGCACTGACTTGATCAAGCAACCTCTTGGAGGCGACTGAAGCAATGCCACTTCAGTCGGATGACTGAACCACTGGCTGGGATTTCTGCTGAGGTTTTTTTCCTTGGCTACAAATTGTAATTTTGCACCCTGTCAGCAAATTTTGCACACATACAAGTCCGAGTAAGCAAAAGTTATTTATGAATATCATTCAAAGTTCTGTCTGACCCTTTCAAACTGACAGAGGATGTTTTTTTGTCCAGCATGTATCAGGGTATTTTTTTGCTGCGATTGACAACTCATATTACATGCACAAGCACAATAATAATGGATAAGAATAAGAGAGTTTACTTTTGAAAAGTACTGCCCAAAAATGCCATAGATTGCACAATTTGAGGATGAATGAATAACAGGAGAAGTAATTAATTAATTTATCTGAAGATGAGCATAGCAATAATAGAGCATCAAATTTATCATCTAACATCCTCTAGTGTGAGTCATGAAAAATGTATTTCTGCACAAAAAATCACACATTTAAACTTTCCAATTCTTGAAAAAATTGTTTTCAAGGAAAGATGAATTCGAAATGTGATTCATCTCAGCATTCATGAGTAATGCACATTTTACATTTTTTGAAGGTGCATAAGAAATTGTAAAATTCAAGATTTAAATCCATGATTCTTGCACTTCATGAAATATGTATCAATCAGATTGTTTCCAAACAGACTCTATTCTATGGATCTTTTCACATACTAGCAGTACATAGCTCAAAAAGCACTCCTTTGAATTTACATTAATGGGATCCAACAAATATTAAGGTATGAATGCTGAATAATTCTGATTTCTCACAGGAAATCATATCAAATGTTGTTATTGTAATTACAGTAGATTGGAATCTATTGTTACAACAAAGGCATTGGAACCAGTGAAGCTTTCTTATGAATAAACCTTTTTAAAAAATGCAAATAACATTGTGATGGTTATTGGACAGTGGGAAAATGAAATTGTTGCAAGCAGGGAATGATATATCCTATTATAACAAGATTTGCTGTAACAAGATTCTACTGTATTATGGAGAAAACAAGAGCCATATACAGTACAGCACTTGTAGGCTAATTTTCAATGCAGGTAAGGTACATGATAATTTTTTTTTATGCAAATTCATTTACAAATCTTGACCAAACAGAGCTAATTGTACGGACAAAAATTAATTATACATTTCATGCTAAATTTACTGCAACTCATAATCCAGGCCCTGCTAATTTTGAAAATATCTTTCCAGGGATTCCTCCACCATCTGGGTACACATGTACAGTATGTCAGATATTGTTTCACCATTTCTGGTTTCTTTCATGCATTCAAAATGGGCAGATTGTGTGTATTTACTTGTCTTCAAGCTGGCATATCCCAAGTTTCAGAGAAAACATTTGGTGAGTTGTTCAAGTGATTTCCATTTACATAAAAACTTGCAAAGTGATGAAATGTTTCCAATAGAAATCTCATGAAAATGTGATCCAACATCCTTCACACATTCCAGCACATTAACTGAGTTTGAGGAGCAATATACTGCAATGATGCATCCACATCAGATTTACAGACCCTGTATGTAATTCTTCACAGTTTACTCATGTGACGCATCAAAACTTAACATCTGGTGGATGTTTCCAGCATTCAACAACAAATTTAGGAGAGGTTCATAACACTTATTGTAAAACAGGCATGAGGCATATAATCTTGAAGAAATAACACATTCCAATCAAAGAGAAGTATAAAACAGAATTAATTAAAACATACTGTTGATTTCCTTTGACACAAACACACTAGACATGCATATTGTTGGTGGAGAAAAATCATCAATTGTCCAGGTCACCTGTAAGAAGTACAGTACACTCTTGTTGCAACAAGTCAGAAATCCTTTTTTACAATTAAACATTGACTGTATTATAGTAAGATTTTTTTTTTACATTGAAAGGTCTCTGTACTATTGTACAAATATAAAATGTGGTAAAACCAAAAAATTCAAATTTGTTGCAACAAGATTTTATTGAATTTGTAAACTTGAAAACTAAAGCCATTCACTGGGTTTCCTCAAGAGTAGGTGATCAGAAAGGAGGAGCAGATTTATTAAAACTGATGGGCATCTTCTATCACTTGACCCTCAGGATCAACTAATGTACCTGATTGCAATACAGATGGACTCTCCATGCAACAATCTTGTCTACAGCACTTTTCTTGGAACATTATAACAAATTTTTGTTCAGCAGCATAGGGTTCTCAACCAATCCTACAGCGGTTCTCTACAACAAAATTCCATCTACAACACATTTTTTTCTGGTCCCTTGATTTCCGTTTCTTGAGAAGAGAGTCTATACTTATACAGTACGGGCAAATTTGAAATTGAGACATTTACCAATTATAAAAAAAAGAATTGGGTTAAGGAAGAAAGTATCACAGAGAAAGAGAATCAATCTTTGTCATACTGTTCATTTCTTGATACAAAACAAGAACAAAAAAAAAACCACATGCAGATCATTGGAGAGATGGAAGAATTGATGATGGGGGAGAGGTTTGCAATAAGACAATTGTCCCAGCAGCAGGTAAAAAAAAAAAAGGCGCAGAATTAAAAAACAAAACAAAAAAAAATCTGCTGCTCCTCTTCCTCCTCTTCTTCTTCCTCCTCCTTCACAAGCGCAAATTTCAGACAGACAGACAGACACAATTCTGACTGAAACCCCCAGGAGAACACAAGTCTTCTTTTTTTCTCTCTCTCTTATCTCACAGTTGGACCACACCGGCTGCTTGCACATCCGTCGCTGAAGTATTCATCTTGGCGACGGGTCGAATGCCAGGAAGAACCGGATCCACGTCCAGTGTCCAGAGATTAATGGCCACACCGCCGCCCGATCGCGTCCGCGCCGTGCACGCATTGATGGCACTCTTGTTCGATCGCTGTCGCTGAGCAGCTGCAGACGACGCCTTCGTCTTGGGCGAACGAGACAAAGAGGAGGACGATGAGGAAGAAGAACTGGAACACGACGACGAGGACACGGATCCTCGACCGCCGCCGCCGCCGCCACCACCAACCACGATCACAGGCGGCGGCGCCTTGCACATCACGAATTTATCTTGGCCCACAGACACGGGCTCGCTTTTCCGTCGTTTCCCAGACTTATTTTTCGATTTCAACGCGTCGGAACGCGGTTCTAGCTTCTTTCTTCTCTTGGTAGGTGAAATGAGGAGAGACGAGGACAACAACCGCTTCCTGTTGGGCTTATTCTTGTTCGACAACGAGGAGTCGTCGTCGTCTCGGGTTCTCCTTTTGGTGGTTCGGGGTTGTTCCTCCTCCTCCTCCTCCGTGGGATCGAAGGGCTCCATGCCGGGAAGGTACGAACAAGGCTTTGCTTCGGGTTTCTCACACGCCTTGTTCCTCGAGCTGAACCGCGAGGGTTTCTCCGTCTTTTTCGAAAAAGGTGACGATGTCGACACTTGAGAAACGGGGGTTTCAGCCGCGCTTCGCACCTTCGCACTCGACACTGGCTTGGCAAGTTTCTCGGGCATGGATCTGTGCAAGGCATTCAGGTGGTTTTGCTCCCATTCCTTCTTTTGCTTCTCGATTTCTTGCTCCGCACAGAGTATCTGCTCTTCCGTCCACTGCGACATGTCCTTTTCGACGCATTTCAAAGCGTAGGTTTCCACAGGCGTCAACTGATGACCAGAATGAAATCATTCAAAATTATTAAAAGAATCCCCTGCCTTTCAGCATTTTCGGTTTTATTCATGCACAGCCGCGGTCATGTCCAGTTAATTTGAAGGTTTAATACTCATCATCTTTCAATTTTTTTCAGGAAGATGTCACCCTTTGAAATGAACACCAACAATGTCGCAAGATATTCTTTGGAAATGGTCAATGATATCAAAATACGATATTCGCTGGTTTCCTCATTTTTTAAAATTTCGTGCATCCAGTGTCACTGAATACTTGAGGGCCAAAAATCTGAGAATTTTCAATCAGTGCCTCGAAACAGCATTTAAAAAAACGCCGTCTAAAAACTCGCCTCTTCGAGAATGCGCCGCATCTGGACCTCTTGCCGGGACACATGCTCCACTTCCACGTCCGGATCATGGTCCAGGGTCAGGTCCAGCTCCACTTCCTTGTAAGCACACGTGGCTGCCTGGGCATCTACATAGTCTTCGGCAGACAGCAGCGCAGCTTCCAGCGCATTTCGATCAGCATCTTTCACAGGCATCTCAGGACCACCCAACAACGCCTCGCTCACCGATTCTTCCACGCCCCGCACGCTGAACAAGTCATGAATTGTGTTCTTCACGAGAAAAGAAAAAAAAATTTTTAATTATCATCGAACAGCAAGCATTTCAAGAGATTGAGAAAATTTTCAACCTTTTCAATCTAACCAGTTCCGAGGAATGAAAATGAACCTTATTTACGAATGTTCCACAATTGTAGACCGCCCAATGAAAAAAAACCAAACGCAATGATTCGACGATGGTAAAATTTTCATTGAACATGAATGTCAGTGAAGAAAAAAATATTTAAAAAATCTGTATTCTCGACTCCATGAAAGTCTGAAAACTCATCCCACAACAATCCATATTCACGAATTTCTAAATAAAATTTGTCAAGTGTGAAATTGAGTGAAGCAGTTCTCTGTCATCCTAGAAAAGAAATGGTTAAAGAAATATTGAGAAAACATTGGACAATCATGAAAAATGTAACTTTGCACATGATTAGGACCAAAAACAAAAAAATGGCAAACCAACCATTTTGAAATGTGCCGTTGTGAAGTTGCCATTCTCAATCGCCAAATCCACCATCAGTCGTTTCTGGTTGGCCTTCCTCAGAATGTTCTCTTCCACAGTTCGTTCACTAATTAGCCTGTACATAGTAATAGGAAACACTTGCAGTTGAAACTAGATAACTCGAAATTCCCTCATCGAAATTTTCTTCATTTCTCGTGTGAATTCCCTAAAAAAATTTATTAAGTATCTTAAGAAATCAAATACTTCTCCTCGAAAAAAATTACTATAACGTGAATTTTTTGGAATCCTTCGGGCGATTTTCTCCGATGATCCCCGACCAAAGCAATAAAATTGTAACTAGCAGCTTTTAAAAAATAATTGGAGTAACTAATCCGGCCAACAAACCCATGCCCCGACAACAATAAAGTCGAAACCCCGGGTCCTTCGGGATTCGACTTTAAATACGTCAAGACTGAAGAAATTCTCACCTATAGATGTGAACATCACGCGTTTGTCCAATCCGATGACATCGGTCTTGTGCCTGCGCGTCCATCGTTGGGTTCCAGTCACTGTCATAGAAAATGACTGTATCCGCACCCGTCAGGTTCACACCGATCCCACCAGACCGCGTTGACAAGATGAAGCAGAATATGCTCGGGTTCTCATTGAATTCTTGCATCATAGTCTACAAACGCATCAAAAAAATCCCGTCAACTTTCTTTCCTGCTCCTAAGAGACTCAAGAGCCAACAAAGAAAATCAGTCATTACCTGCCGATCATCCACCTTCGTGGCGCCATCTAACCGCAAATACCGGTAGCCATGAAAGTTGAGAAACGCCTCCAACACGTCCAGCACGCGCGACATCTGTGTGAAGATGAGCACACGATGCTTGTCTTGCTTCAGTTTCCGCAACAGTTGCGCCAACGCCTGGAGTTTCCCTACAAAGTTCAAGCAACACCTTCGTAAAACCCTTTTTTTTTTNCTCTTCGAGAATGCGCCGCATCTGGACCTCTTGCCGGGACACATGCTCCACTTCCACGTCCGGATCATGGTCCAGGGTCAGGTCCAGCTCCACTTCCTTGTAAGCACACGTGGCTGCCTGGGCATCTACATAGTCTTCGGCAGACAGCAGCGCAGCTTCCAGCGCATTTCGATCAGCATCTTTCACAGGCATCTCAGGACCACCCAACAACGCCTCGCTCACCGATTCTTCCACGCCCCGCACGCTGAACAAGTCATGAATTGTGTTCTTCACGAGAAAAGAAAAAAAAATTTTTAATTATCATCGAACAGCAAGCATTTCAAGAGATTGAGAAAATTTTCAACCTTTTCAATCTAACCAGTTCCGAGGAATGAAAATGAACCTTATTTACGAATGTTCCACAATTGTAGACCGCCCAGTGAAAAAAAACCAAACGCAATGATTCGACGATGGTAAAATTTTCATTGAACATGAATGTCAGTGAAGAAAAAAATATTTAAAAAATCTGTATTCTCGACTCCATGAAAGTCTGAAAACTCATCCCACAACAATCCATATTCACGAATTTCTAAATAAAATTTGTCAAGTGTGAAATTGAGTGAAGCAGTTCTCTGTCATCCTAGAAAAGAAATGGTTAAAGAAATATTGAGAAAACATTGGACAATCATGAAAAATGTAACTTTGCACATGATTAGGACCAAAAACAAAAAAATGGCACACCAACCATTTTGAAATGTGCCGTTGTGAAGTTGCCATTCTCAATCGCCAAATCCACCATCAGTCGTTTCTGGTTGGCCTTCCTCAGAATGTTCTCTTCCACAGTTCGTTCACTAATTAGCCTGTAAATAGTAATAGCAAACACTTGCAGTTGAAACTAGATAACTCGAAATTCCCTCATCGAAATTTTCTTCATTTCTCGTGTGAATTCCCTAAAAAAATTTATTAAGTATCTTAAGAAATCAAATACTTCTCGAAAACAAATTACTATAACGTGAATTTTTTGGAATCCTTCGGGCTATTTTCTCCGATGATCCCCGACCAAAGCAATAAAATTGTAACTAGCAGCTTTAAAAAAATAATTGGAGTGACTAATCGGGCCAATAAACCCTTGCCCCGATAACAATGAAGTCGAACCCCGGGTCCTTCGGGATTCGACTTTAAATACGTCAAGACTGAAGAAATTCTCACCTATAGATGTGAACATCACGCGTTTGTCCAATCCGATGACATCGGTCTTGTGCCTGCGCGTCCATCGTTGGGTTCCAGTCACTGTCANAACCCCGGGTCCTTCGGGATTCGACTTTAAATACGTCAAGACTGAAGAAATTCTCACCTATAGATGTGAACATCACGCGTTTGTCCAATCCGATGACATCGGTCTTGTGCCTGCGCGTCCATCGTTGGGTTCCAGTCACTGTCATAGAAAATGACTGTATCCGCACCCGTCAGGTTCACACCGATCCCACCAGACCGCGTTGACAATATGAAGCAGAATATGCTCGGGTTCTCATTGAATTCTTGCATCATAGTCTACAAACGCATCAAAAAAATCCCGTCAACTTTCTTTCCTTCTCCTACGAGACTCAAGAGCCAACGAAGAAAATCAGTCATTACCTGCCGATCATCCACCTTCGTGGCGCCATCTAACCGCAAATACCGGTAGCCATGAAAGTTGAGAAACGCTTCCAAGACGTCCAGCACGCGCGACATCTGTGTGAAGATGAGCACACGATGCTTGTCTTGCTTCAGTTTCCGCAACAGTTGCGCCAACGCCTGGAGTTTCCCTACAAAGTTCAAGCAACACCTTCGTAAAACCCTTTTTTTTTTTCAAAACAAAGAAAAATCCCAAATTAACTTACCGCAATCGTACTCAATCAGTCGCAGTTCCGGGAACAAGAGTGAAGGTGCTTGGGCCTTGGGCCCAACCGGGCAGTTGTGCGTTGCGTCTGCTACGTTTTTACGTCTCAGGAAGTTCGCGGAGGCTGTGGGCCCTACTGAGTTGACGTCACTGTGTCCACGGTGCCCATAGTGTCATGACACGTATATACTGAATTTGGCGAGCATCTCTTGCATGTCGCGTTGGACTCGCACCGGAGATTTGCACAGACCCGCCAACTGACTCTAAATTTGGCAGAAAATATCCAGATTAGTAGAATCTTGTTCCAATCAATGAAGACCTGAAACAGAATTTGTTATAATGAAATTCAAAATTTTGTTAACCTTGCTCTTGCTCTGCCCTTATTTGTGTGAGATTAAATTCTGCAGAACAGTCCAATAAGATTTTTTCACTTCAAATAACTCCAAAACTCATCTTACCTGCCCACAGCGCATGGCCCAATAACACGCCTCGAGCCCGCCAACGTACCCAGGCCTCAATCCGCTCACTGGGACCTCCAGCATTTGACTTCTTGCACACGAACCCGGAACCCGGGTTGGCCCGTCAACACGCAACGCAGACGATGCAAAAATGCAGAGTCCTTCAAGCGCCTCCGACACCCGGGATGACTCAACTGCAGTGACACAGGTGCCACGGGTATCACAGGTGGCACGTATATACTGAATTTGGCGAGCATCTCTTGCATGTCGCGTTGGACTTGCACCGGAGATTTGCACAGACCCGCCAACTGACTCTAAATTCGGCAGAAAATATAAAGCTTAGTAGAATCTTGTTCCAATCAATGAAGACCTGAAACAGAATTTGTTATATTGAGATTCAAATTTTTTTTTAAACCTTACTCTTGCTCTGCCCTTATTTGAGTGAGATTATATTCTGCAGAACAGTCTCAACAAGATATTTCACTTCAAATAACTCCAAAACTCATCTTACCTGCCCACAGCGCATGGCCCAATAACACGCCTCGAGCCCGCCAACGTACCCAGGCCTCAATCCGCTCACTGGGACCTCCAGCATTTGACTTCTTGCACGATTTAATTCATAATTGGCATCAATGAACACATTGACGCCCTGATAAAGTCGAGTCAAGAAGGCCCGCTTAGCCGGACACTGGGCCACATTGCAGGCCAGCAGCGTGTCCCACGCAAACATCATCGGCTGCATGTACCGCAATCGTTCGTAATTCGTCACACTCCGCATCCACGTCCAGTATTCTTTGCCAATTCGACGAACATAGCATTCCTTTTTTTTTTAAGAAATAGAAAATTTTGTTGAAACGTAGAAAAGGTAGCATTGAAGACGGAATTCCTCCCACCGATACAAAAATTTAAACTCGGATGAACATCGCGAGAAAACTTACATTTCAAACAACGAGCTTCGCTTTAACGAGTACAGTACTTTTTCAAGTTTTTTTATTTAGAAGAACTCAATAAGACGTGAAATTCACACTCACGGGGAGACGAAACAGTGGGACAGGCTTGCTGTTATTAATGGCGAATTTCGTGCTTTGAGTATTAGACGACACGGTCTTCCTTTTTCGGGCCAGCTTCACTGCCGGCCTAGTAGGCACACCGACCCTGCCTTTCTTCGCAGCTGCCGGTAACTTCCGCTTGGATTGTGAAGTATTGGCCTTGTTGGCAAGTATCTTGGCACGACGAGCTAGTCTCTGATTAGGATACCAATCCGAGTTCAGCTTGTCCAACTCAGTCTCTTCCAACACTTCTGGATACTTGGGTTTCCCGCCGTTGGCAGGCTTGTCACCGTTGTCCAAACCAGCTGAGACTGTTGCAGGTAATTTCAGCCTTGAAAAAAAAAAAAAACGCGAAAGTTTCCACCCTCGAACTTTTCCTTCCGAATGGCACGCAATCAACTCACAGTCTTTCTTCGTCCTCAGGCTTCTCACTGTTGCCGGATTTCGGTTTTTCCGGCCTCGTCACAAGGTCCTGACAATCGGCTTTCTTGATGCACTGGAACACCGACCTCTCTCTGTTGACGGCTTTCCAGACCCAATTGTTCACGACGAAGCTCTTTGTTGGCTGGTTTCCGAGCCCCGCGCGGCGTTTGGGTGATATCACAGTCGGCAATTCTGTCACTGATTGAAGGCACTTCATTTGTGGGCCACACGCTTGCGTCTCTTGCTTCACTTCTGTCGAAAAAAAAAATTTGAGATTCGCGTAAAACTTTCAACACATAGAAATTATGATGCGGTTTTCAATCAAACACGAAGTTCAGGAAGCCTCACCGTATCGCTTGATGGGGCCAGAAGGAAACGGCAACGGAACCACAGCAATACACACGGCTTCAGAATCAGGCAAAACGTTTCTTCTCTGCCAAAATGTTGGTAGAACTTTCTCGTCGCCCAAAAACAGAGCCCCATTCCTCATTTCCAAATCGCCTGAAGAAAATAATAATAATAATAATAATTGTCTGCCGTCGAAGAGTGGGAAAATCATTCACTTTACTTTTCGGGTAAAGTTCCTTTGCTTCACTGGACTGCTTCTGTTTTCCTTGACGAAACAAAGGACAAAATTGCACATTCAGGTAATCCTCGGATGCACTAACTCTCTCACGAAACTCACCTCGCTGCTTGGCCTGCATCTGGCCAGGTGTTGCGGCCATCACCTGCTCATCTTCCACCAGTGAAGAATCGACTACTTTTGCGGGCCAAAAAGACAAATAGCAAATTCAATTCAATTTCGAGAGCTAATCCCTCAACAACAAAAAAACACAAACATACCTTTACAAGGCTTCATCACTTCGCCAAAGTCCATCGATTTGCCAAATCGCAGTCGGAGTCTGGTCCCGCTATGATTCTGCGTTGGCCTCAACACTGGACGTCTTTTCTTGAGCAAAGACTCTAAAGAACTAGGCATCACCTTGGTCGTTGCTGTGGCATCCCACGACGAGTAGTGACGACTATCCACCAATGACTCGATCCCCAATCCCGGCAAGTACAACCCCTGCATTAAAAAAATTATAATAATAACAATGATACACACTCTCACATACAGAGGACCCTCAGTTGAACTAACTTTTGGTTTTGAGGAAAAATCCCTTGGTCCACAAACCGAAATTCGGTTAATAAACTTTTTCTGGAGAGGAATCCCAAATTTTATAAGTGAAAATTTGATTTCAAAACTGCAATTTTTTGTAAAATCAAAAATCAAATCATTCATCTATGCACTAATATGAAAATTCTTCCATTCTGGCCCTCTAATGCTGCAAGACCCCAAGATGCGGACATAATTGGTGCATCAAGAGTGTCCTGATGTCAGAATGTCCCCAAGTCAAATCTCATTTTCCTTTGGACTTCAATACTAAATGTATTTAATTGGTTTTCCTTTTTGTCAAAAATTTGAAATAAGTGTTCAAAAAAATGCAACAAAATTTGATTGCCTAAACTTCAAGTTGTAAAGAACAACAGTGCAGAATAAACCACATAGAATCTGATCTTTCAGTATGAAAAGGAGATCAATAAGCAAAGAAAACAAATAAGTCTTGCTTAGAATATGCACAGATTATAGAAAAAACTCTGAAAAAAGAAGCACAAAATCAGCTTGCTTCTGATGAGAATGAATTCAATGAAATTTTTTACATTTTGTATACATAAATAACTTCATTTCTTCAAAAGATACCAAGATTAATAAATAAAATGTTTCGATTTTTGGGAAATTTTCAGGAATGTGTCATTGACTTGAGCAGATGGTCAGATGTTGGTTCTGATTTCTTTGGTTTTCAAGTGTCCTTAAGTCAAATTGTCAGTATGTTGGGGTGTCCTCATGTTGGGGCCTCACTGTGTAATCTTGTTGTAAAATTTGTTCCAGCTACAGTACTCATATAGGCTTTTCAGTGCTTGGTTTTTCTAGTTGTTCAATTGTCAGAAAGGTCTATTTGATCTTCACTTGCAGCATTAAAAAAAATGCATTCTCACCAGGCATGTATACTTCAGCATGTGTTTCTATGGTTTTAAAGCATTTTTTAAGCTTTGGTATCATCTGTGCTACTTCCATATAACACTGTAAAAATATTCCGGACACATATTCGATACAGCAACAACCTTTGTCCGGAACCCATTAAGTTTGTTGACCAAGGGTCGACTGTAATTTCGGTTTTTCTCAGGTGAAAAGCTGGGACAATCAGAAGCTCAACAGGAGAAAAAAAAAAGGAGCAAAAAGCCAAGAAATGAGGTAGGTAATAAGGGTGAAAAAACTCACATTTTTCGCCGACTGGGCCAGCAGGTCGTCCGTGATGAGACTCGGCATAGAAATAAATAATGGATCACAGAGCAGCGGTGACACAACCGGTCGTTCCTCGAAAAGATTCGGATGATTGCACACTTTCCGCAGCTGCATCAGCACGTTGATGACGGACAACAAATTTCCCTTGTCCAACGTGTCCCTCGTTCTTCACACACACACACACACAGAAATGCAAAATTGCAATCAAAAACTTTTGCAACATAAAAGGAAATACAAATTCGCTGCACTCACTTGGAACGCGACATGTAATCCTCGTAGAGAAACTGTTGTCGCTTCGACAGACGACACATGACGACGTGCTCGTGCTTCCGCGGCAGTTGCTTCTCCACCTCGGACTTGAGTCGACGCAGTAAAAACGGTCGCAACACCTTGTGCAGACGTCGGATGACACTCGCATTGTACCGCTGCGACCCGTCAATCATGCCCGACACCGGGTCACTAAACCATTCACGAAACTCAGAGTGACTCTGAAACACTTGCGGCATGAGAAAATGCATGAGACTCCAGAGCTCGAGCAAATTATTCTGCAACGGCGTGCCGGTCAGCAGCAATCGGCGTTCACTGTGAAAGTGCAACAGGACTTGCCAACGTTGACTCTTGAAGTTCTTGATGTTATGCGCCTCGTCGAGGATCAAATAGCGCCACTTTTTGCGACGAAACACGACGTGGTCTTGCAAAATCAACTGGTAGGACGTGATGCAGACGTGAAAGGCGTCGCGTTTGGTCCAGCCGGCCCGTTTCTGCTTCCGTTCTTTCTGAGTTCCGTAGTAGGTCAAGAGCTTGAGACCCGGCAACCACTTGAGCATTTCCTGTTCCCAATTGAGCAAGACGCTGGTTGGCACGACGATGAGGTGCGGGCCCCAATTGCCCTCGACGCAGGCCAGATGGGCCAGCAACGCGATCGTCTGTATCGTCTTGCCCAGGCCCATTTCGTCCGCTAAAATCCCGTTCAGGTTTCGTTCGTACAGCGTCACTAGCCAATCTAATCCTATGTGCTGGTATTCACGCAACGTGTGCTTCAGCAAAAATGGTGACGGGGTTCTGGCCTTGACTTCAGAATAAATGTCCCTCTCCTCCCGGGTTGCAGCTTTTTCGGGCTTCATGCACAACGTCGACTCCTGATTATTCACGCTGTCCTCGACATTCTCATCTCGGTCGATTCGAGCCTCCAATTCCTCACTGGCGCCTGAATCATAGCAATGGATCATAAACATCTCACGGAATGATGGCTTTACGTGGAATGTGGTAATTTCTGTTGCGCAAAATATATGTACTGCATCTAAATAAAAAAATAAAAAGGGAAGGTCGAAGTCGCGCCTTCAGGAAATTTTTAGCAAGAGATCTTCTGTGAAAAAGAATTCCTAGATATAAAAAAAATATCTACAGAACTTGCTAAATGCTACATTACGCAACACGTTTTCAAGTTTTCAATGCTACCATTGTTTCATTGTTGATAAAATTGTCCCATGTCAGCAAGACTTCCATGAAACAGTTATTTTCGTGTTCATGAACATTTCATCATCCAACTAAAAAAGGGAAGAGGTAAATTTTCTTTTTTGAACTCCATCGTCGAATTTTCTACAGCCTTTAAAACCTTTGGGAAGACTTGTATGCACTGTAAAGTATCACACGCACCTTTTTTTCTGCAAATTTAAATAAAATAAGTATAATACGCATAAAAGGTGGGCATACATTAAAAAAAAATCAATTACTAAAAAAGTAAAGCAATGCAACAAGTGGTGCATGCTTACTTACTTGCAGTACACATAAATATATAATTAAGAACAGATTTAAACTTCGTTTTTTAATTTCCGTAGGGGAAAAAATGATGGAAATCATCGTTCAATTTCGACCACAATATCAGTCAAAATTTAAATACTGATCTACTTCATTTTCAAAATGCATCAATTTTCCGTTTTCAAAACTGGGATGTGCGTCTTACTTGGGGTTGCATTTTAATCCTACTTTCAGGTTGAAAATATAAATATAAATGCATAAATGATTAAATCTCACCCCCAACCAACAGAGGTAAACGAGGACTATCGGTGGTCAAGCTCTCAGCCATCATTGAAGACAATTTTTCCGTCTGGTCCACGACGTAGTTCAAATGCCAATCTAATGCTCGCCTTCGCTTCCCCTCGACTATCACTTTGGTACGATGCTCCACAAGCTAGTGCACAAAGAAGACGAGAGATCGTCAAAAATAAATAAAATAGAGAAACACCATGCACTAGCAGGTCAACCAACTTTGCCCATATTGGTCCAGAAGTCCCGCATAATCCTCGCCAATGCCGCAGCAGCTCGTTTCCGCTTGTTTTCTTCGTCTCGGATCGCCTTCAGCTTCAAAACATCCTTTTGTTGAAACTGGCGCTGGATTGCCTTTGCCACCTGAACATCGCATTCAAAAAGCTGAAGAGACGAAACGAAAATGTTAATTGATGAAGAAAACACACCTTCTTCGCTGTAGAAATCTTCCATTTGCGCTCCGATGAGATCTCGTTGGAAATCCACAGCATTTCTTCCAGAACGAAATCCCAACTGGTTTTTGGACGCGTCGGCTCGGGCCTCTTCACCAGCTTTCGATCCACACTAATTCCTCGTGATTCAATTTCTTGTATACGAGCATCTAATTCCGTTTCCTAAACATAAAAAAGTTGGTGTCTTTAACATGCTGCCCGACACTCATTTCACATTCTGTTAGACTGAAAGGCTAACCTCTAGGGCAGGAAGTTTGCCACGCTTCCGCAGAGTTTTTGTTTGGCCACGGCGTCTGGTTTGTTCAGCAGGAGAACACAACGGCGAAGTCACAGGAATTTCCTCGCAAATTATTTCGCTCACTGTACAGGGCAAGAAAAAATCCATGCGTGAAAAATCTCGGACCTTCGGACGACGTCCTCAATTTCAGAAAATTTTGAACTCATGGGCTCAATGATCAATTCCACAAATTCATTCACTTCAGTGTCAACACATCACGTGTGAAAGAGATGCTCACCATTGCTGTAAAACGAGGAAACTATCACCTCCGCATCACTGATCGCTTCGGGTAATGAAAAAATCGCGTCCTTGATCGCCGACTGGCAAGCACTAATGGATAAATCATCTTTCAACCATGAAGGAGCATTGATGTCGAACTTCGGCGAGCAGGATTCAGTTACGGGAATGATTGGATCCAATTCGCATTGGAATGTGTCTCGGGAAGAGCCAGAAATATGGCTCAAAGTGTGGAGCAATACTGCAGCCTTCTTTTTAATAGGTTCAGGACGTTTGTTCACAACCCTGCGTATTAGAGAGGCTTACTTAGAAAAATTCTGATTAACAGAAACATGATCGTGAATATACTCTTACTCCGTCGGGTTTTCGGGCTCCACTTGATCAGTCTTAGAGACAGCCGACCGACGTTTGCGTTCCGAGAAAGGCACGGATTTCCTCGACTTACCAACGCATTTTTTGCCTTTCGTACCTCGATTAAGAGATCCATTCTTCAGTCGGGCTTGACTGGACATCGAAGGAGGTAGCTTTTTAACGGCGTGGGCATTTGATGTTTTCAGCGGAGTCGTCTTCAAGGCATCAAGACTTACCCGGATCTCCGGGTAAGCAATGATCTCCACGGGCCACATACACCAGCGGGAGCTCTTCGGGAGAAATTCCGGAAATACAAAATCCCTCCTCCAGATTTTTCAGCACGCTTCTGAAATCACACGCGGAGCAACTCGACACCATGCGGAAAACCTGCAAGAACATTACCAACGTGAGTCGGATTCTTCCCGATAACCAATGACAACAAAATCACCTACACTCAACACCTTCCACTCACCTCCACAGAACGTTGCAAACGGACGCGTTGTCGAAACGTGAAACCCGATGTAGCAGGCACACTTCGAATTTCACTTCTTTTCTAACGGGGTCCACAAACATTGTCAGAGCTATACCAGTTGGGGTGTGACGCTCAAAAATCCATCTACATAGATGTCGCTAAGAACATCATTCGAAACTTCGCTAGCGGTATCTTTTCATCTTCCTGAAAATGAATCCCTCATTCAGTTGCGCTGATCAATGGGTAACGAGCGGTTCACATCTGAACTTCCACATGGTTCTCTTTTCTGCGGAGTCTTATTTCCGGCATCCATTCTTTTGGATTCAACGAAAACTGACTTTGGGGGCGATTAATGTTGGTTAGGTTAGATTGGATTATGTTTGTTTAACAGAATAACCTGATCTAACTTAACTGCCCCAAAGTAAGCTTTTGCTGAATCCTGCAACTTTGGGGGTGGTTAGGTTATTGAGGTTAGATCAGTCAGTTTTGCTGAATCCAAAAGAATGGATATACAGTATAGTGCAAATGTTGACAGTGAAGGAAAGCCTCTGCAGAAAAGACAACCATGGAAGTTCAGATGTGAACTACACTGTTCCCTTTACCCTTGATCAGCACAGGAGGACTTATACCTGCTATTCATAGCAGGCAAGCATATCAAAATGCTCACCTGTTATTCTCACCCTTCTGTAAAAAAAAAGTAGTGCAACCAACAACAGAAAATTGCAATCAGATGATCAGATGTGTTTGGCATGATGCTGTGGTCCCACAATTTCATGGTCAAATATGCTGGGAGGTTGCCTCACAATTTGACCTATGCCCTGCAATTCAACCCACAGGGATGGGAAAAATATCAAATACCATGTAGGAAACATAAAATTTGACATTATTGCTTAGACCACTTTGCAATATGACCCTACCATGCAGCAACAGATTTTACGGTCAAATTGTGGGGCACCACCTGTATTTTGGAGTTTACTGCTGCTTTCCCAAAAAGTGTTTGTTACCTTCCAAGCCTCCAGAAATATCCTAATTCATAGATTCAGGCATTGCCACAGCTCACATATTTTATGTTCATTTTTTATTAGCATAACCCCTTTGAAGATCATTTTTCAGCCCATATAATATCAAGTGTTGAAAAAAATATCTTCTTCAAAATAACAGTATGTACCCTTCTGAAGCAAAGTATGGATATTATTAAAAAATGCACAAGCACTGAAATGGCAAAAAAACCTGAACTGCAAATAAAAAAGTTGGGAAAAGGAAAATCTTTCAATAGACAGTGAGACCCTGAGATGCAGAAGTAATTGGTGTATTGAGAGTGTCCCTAAGTTGAAATGTCCCTAAGTTGAGTCTTGTTTTCCCATAGACTTGCATTATATACATTTTAATTGGTGTTTTCTGAAAGAAATATTGATCAAAATTCCTTTTTAAAATTGAGGGAAAAATTCTACTGATGAAAAAATTATTAAATCAGTATTTTTCAACTAATGTATAAAATTTGGAGCATTGGTGACATAAAACATTTACAAAATGCACAATTTCTGTGCTATACTGCTGAATGTTAAGATCCATCAATTCAGCAACTGTCCTCTTCTCTTCCCTTCTTCTCCAGCTGTGGAATCTTCATGGTTTCTTTTTTGAGCTTTACAGTTGGCACATTCCTGATTATTCCAGACGTTTTTGTCTTCTTAGAGGACATTTTCCAATTTTTTTTATCTAGCCTTCTTGAACCTATAAATCTTAGCTTTTTGTCAAGTGCAAAGTTGAGAATAATGTTTTTTCAACAGTTTCTTGAGGAACATACAGGGGAAAATATCCAAGTAAAAATTCTGTACACTATTGAACAAAGAGATGTTAGCATTTCCTATAAAAATTAAATTAGACAAAAGGAGAGAAGGAAATCCCTTCTTTCTTGAGAATCTCTATGCTTGAGATATTTTTTTAAAATTAGCTAAATGGAGGGGAAAATGATGGCAGAATTTTAAAAGAATATTTGTCATATAGATCTTACCAGCATCCTATGGTTCTGAATATCTGTTCCTAGTAATTTGGCATGAAAAATTTGATTTTCTGAAAATTTCAATGTCCTCAGGTTGAGTCAGTGTCCGCAGGTCAGGTCTTTTCAATTGGAAAGAAAGTGTTCCTAAGTCGAATTGTCCCCAGGTCGAGACGTCCGCATGTGGGGGTCTCACTGTATATACAGTCAACCTCCATCTAACAGAATTGATTTGTGCAAGGGACAAGCATGTTAGACAAAAAGTCCTTTACACAAATTCAATTACATAAAAGATTAAAAATTTCAATTTTCAACACTAATTTTAAACCAAAAGAAGTCTGTTTGGCGGATTTTGTCTGTTGGGCGGGAGGAAAAACTGCTTGCAGAGCTGGTCTGTTTGGCGAAAATCCCTTACATGGGAGGTCTGTTAGGCGGGGGGCCACTGTACTGTGTTTTTACACAATTCTCCCAACTCAAGCCTATAGGTTCTCAGCTCAGGTTTTTTTTTTCTTCTTTTAATGCTTAATTTTGTGCAACAAAAATTTCCAGCTTTGCAGCGAAATGCTTAATATTCTTCTTAGAAGATATTTTCAACTCTCCGAATAATATTCGCTCAAGATAAAAACAGGAAAAATGAATAAAAGAAATATTTTTTTTGTGCGCATGCGCTGATGATCAGTAGCACAAGTGCTGAAGAGGAATGTGGAAAATACATTTCTTTTAATTTCCTCCCCTTCTTTTCAATAAATTAAAAGCTGTCTTATCTATGATGCTGTCAGCAGGTTAATTTGTGAAGGAATTCTTTAAATGGGCTAGAAGAAAAAAAAAGTCGATTTAAGTATTATTGGTTAAAGTAATTGGACAGTCGTCTTTTGTGAAAAAATGATGACAGGAGAGAGAAATTAGACTTTTCCAGTTCATTCCTTTTGTATAGATGTACGTGGTTTTGCCTCATATTCAAACACAGATTTCTGTTAACAATTTTGCATAAAAATCTAAAAAATATCTGAAAAATGATACATCTACAATGAATTGTAGCCAAAATGGAGCAAGAATTATAGTAATGCAAATTATTCTATGCAGATGATGTAATGTAATATTTCAAATGAATCATCTTATTATTGTGCCTCTCTGAAAAAAAAATCAAAGTGCAGTGAGTCTTTTATATGCAGACATAATTGGTGCATATCTAGAGTGTACCTAAGTCAAGTCTGGTTTTCTCATATTTATATTATATATATTTTTTATTGATGCTTTATATGGAGGAAACATTCATTAGAATTCCGTGACAAACAAATCTGCCACTTGAAATTGATTCAGAGAATATATTATTTCTACTCAATATAAGAGCCTTTGGAGCATTGAATAGTGTACCTCTGTACATTACATTGAAATGTTGGCATCTGTAAAAATAGCATTCAAGTCACAAAGAGGGAAGGACATCTCCCAAAGCTGGAGGCATTTTGTTTAATCAGCTGAATGGATGGGAAAATGAAGGGTAAGATGTCAAAGAATTTTTATTTCATAGATCTTAGGGTGTTGGAAATATCTGTTCTTTACAATTCAGCCTGGTAAAATTCACTTTTTTTGAAACTTATTGGCAATTTTGCAATGCAATGTCCACATGTTGAGTCAGTGTCCACATTTTGGACCTTTGTCATGCACTTTTTATTGGAAAATATTTGTCTGTATGTTGAATTTTCTGCATGTCAAGGTGTTTGCATGCGTGGGAGTCTCACTGCACATATAAAGAAGTTCATTTAAATATGCATTTACAACCTTTGGCATGTATAAACAAGAATAATTTCGCACATAGCCAAGTTTGAAAATTGAAAAAACAATGTGTTTCTTATATTTTTATTCTGATCCTAATCCAAAGTTCAGATTATCTTCTAAGATTCTGAAATCTTAAATGATCAAGATAAATTTTTGGCCTTATAGGATTTCTCATCAAAGATTCTCTCTAAATTGTTCATTCAACTAAAAGGAGAATCACGCCGATTCTGCTTCCGGACTTGAATAATGTCTTTGTTGCGATAGCTGAATAATGGCGAGCCTTCACACGACATGATGGGTGTTTCACGATGAATTTCCTTCCGCACCAATTAACACGATTAACACGAAAAACACGGAATCCTCGAATCTGAACATAAAACGCAGAACAGGAGTGAGATGAATAACTTTGAGATTATAATCGTATAACTTGCCCTAGGGGAAGCCGCTTCCCTCCCGTCGAATAGCAGCTTCTTTGTGTGCGACCTCCTGTTGTTCCGGTCTTTTTCTGCGTCCTGATTTACGTGCTCCAACTCTTATTTTCCCAGAATTATGGATTCAAGAAAAAAAATTCACGGAGATAGGATGATGCCTGTCCATCTACTTGTTCACGCGCTTTCGCATCCGATTAGGAAGGGTCGTGCACGTCGAAAAATCGCGGAACAGGTATTGCCAAAGTCACGGAACTGATATAATATGACCGGTTTTCAACTTCGCAACTGCACTAAATAATCATTTACAATATTCACAACGGGCACAAGAGAAACGCCGAGTGCCTCATTCAATCAACCCCGACTCTTGAGTTGCAAATTTCACGAATATCGGCCGATCCAACGCGATCCGCGAATACTGTACGATTGAAGAACACCATTTGCTCATCAACCTGCAATCGCAGTTCTCAGTCAGGTAGAGCATATATGTATGGATACACGAGGATGACAAATTGCTCACGCTGAGGAAATTTACACTTGTATGAACTTCTGAACGGACCTTTGTGCCGTTACGAACACAATTTGAACACGCATCTCGTTATAAACGCATGCAAAACAGAACCCATCCAATCGCATGTAACGATCATGAACAGCATCCACAAATGCTCAACTCCGTGCCGAATTAACCTCGCTGCGGGATTTAGAGGTTTCCCTCTACGTTGACTGACAGCATGCAAATCTGCTTGAACAGGGGGGGAAATGGCTTCGACCTCTCGGCCTCAAGACATCCACGAGCGAGGGCTTGCTAAATGTAAGCCCGCCATCGTGACTCAACCCGGTGCCACGTGGCAATACCCTCCGGACCGTTTCAGCCACGTCACCTTGTCGTC